CAATGTGCACAGATTTGTGCACCAGGCCACTAGTTTGATATAAAGGAGTGATTTGGCCCAACTTGTGTATGTGGGCTGGGAGCTCAGGGGTGGCTTCCCTGGGCAATTCTGACTCTGGGGTCTCAGATGAAAGTTGTATATTTTCTTGGGAAAAGTGTCTGGTTAGGTCCTCTGCCCATTTTTTAATTGGATTGTTTGCTTTTATTGTTGAGTTATGTGGATTCATTATATATTTTAGATGTTAGCTCCTTATTGGAAATATCGTTTGCAAATATCTTCTCCCATTCGGTTGGCTGCCTTTTCCTTTTGATGATGGTTTCTTTTGCTGTGCAGAAGCTTTTTAGTTTGATGCAGTCCCATTCATTTATTTTTGCTTTTACTTTCCTTGCCTTTGAGGCCAATTCACAAAATCCTCTTTGAGATCAAGGTCCATAAGTTTAGTACTCATGTTTTCTTCCATGTATTTTGTTGTTTCAGGTTTTATATTTAGGTCTTTATCATGCTAAGAGAAATAATTCAGACAGGAAAGGACAAAAATCATATGATTTCATTCGTGGTAAATAAAAAAGAAAGCAACAAATGAAACAAAATTAATAAACTCTGAGACACTGACTGACAACAGTATGTTAGTTACCAGAGGGGAAGGGTGTGGGGGGAAGGCTGAAGAGGGTAAAAGGGGGTCTAATATATGGTGATGGGAGGAGACTGGACTATGGGTGGTGAGCACACAATACAATATACAGATGTATTATACAGTTGGACACTGCAACTTATATAATGTTATTAACCAATGTCACCTCAATAAAATTAATTTAAAAAAATTGTGGTTTCCAGCTAGGGTTGTGTCACCTGAAGGTCTGAGAGGGGCTGCAGGGGCTGGCTTCTACGGTGGCCCACTCATGAGGCAGGAGGGGTGCTGGCTGTCGGCACGAGGCCCATCCTCTGCTGAAGGCCCCTTTCCACAGTGCTGCCGAGGGTCCCCGGGGCATGGCGGCCTCCTCCAGGGCAAGTGATTGAAGGGAGAGCAATGTGGAAACTGTCATGTCTTCTGACGAGTCTGGGAAGTCCCACACTGTCATTGATACTGTATCCTATCGATTACCAAGTCAGTCCTAGCCCTTGTGGGAGGGACTACATAGGATGTGAAGACCAGGAGGTGAAACTCATGGGAGGGGACATCATGGAGCTTTGATAGGCCACCTAGTAACTGTAATAGGATTTACTTAATATTGCCTACTTTTTACTAAAATTAGCTTTATTCTAAATAATGCCTATTAAGTCCCCAGACTCATGTGTTAAGTATCTTTATCAATACAAATGAACATAAACTTAGAGTTACTGATTAAAAAGAACGCTCTTGTACCACCTGTGCTCACCTGCATGTTTGTGCAGTGACACAAACACCCTCGTCCCCCACCCCCACCCCCCACAGGGAACCGGCCGATGGAGGCTGGTGGCTTTCTGGCGTTTGGTCATGCCTCCCAGCTATTCCCTGCTGTCCGCTTGGAACCCGAGAAATGCCGGTGCTGATGGGCCATTTGCTGTCTTCCTCTAGGACCGCCTGTACTTCGTGATGGAATACGTGAACGGCGGTGACCTCATGTACCACATCCAGCAGGTTGGCCGGTTTAAGGAGCCTCATGCTGTGTAAGTGAGAACCTTGCTGTGCATTTCCCTGGGGACATGTGGTGGGTTGACAAGCTTGCCTAGGGCGTCTGCTAAGATCTCATGGCCCATTCAGCAAGCCCTCGGGGTTCCCTCGGGGTTCCCTCGGGGCCCCATCCTGTCATTCCAGAGGCTGCCGTTCAGCTCGCCCTGCCCCGTCCTCCCACCTGCCCAGGCTGTGACCACTCTATGTTGGTAGAGTAGCATTCTTCTGCTTCCAAAGCCTGCCACTCACATATCTTGGCACAATTGCTATGGCAATGTGAGCTCAGAGTTGTCTCTCTTCTTCAACTTCTAATAGTGGACTATAAGCCTTAATCCTATTCTCTCTCTCTCTCTCTCTCTCTCTCTCTCACACACACACACACACACACACACACACACATACCTGCCCAGCCCTGTGCTATAACCGGCCTTCAGTAAGAGCTCTCTCACCCTGGCCTACCATTTATCAGTTGTGTAACTTGGCCAAGTTTTTTCATGTCACTGAGCCTTGGTTTCCTCATTTAAGGAGCAGGGAGGTAATAGTAGAACCCACCTCACCAGACTGCAGTTAAAATTCACACACACACACACACACACACATACCTGCCCAGCCCTGTGCTATAACCGGCCTTCAGTAAGAGCTCTCTCACCCTGGCCTACCATTTATCAGTTGTGTAACTTGGCCAAGTTTTTTCATGTCACTGAGCCTTGGTTTCCTCATTTAAGGAGCAGGGAGGTAATAGTAGAACCCACCTCACCAGACTGCAGTTAAAATTGAAACAGATAATAACCCACAATGATGCTAGGGAAAGGGCCAGCCTTCAACAGATGGCAGCTGCTATTATTAAGCTACTAGAGGCCTGGTGCACGAAATTCATGCACTGGTACGGTCCTTAGGCCTGGCCTGCTATCAGGGCCATCTTCCCCAGCTGCCCACAGCTGACCCCGCACCCCACCGCCACCCACCTCCAGTTCCCCATTCGCCATCGGGTGATCGATGCCTGACAGCCAGGGGAAGGGACCGAGACGTCAAATGTTCACACCTGCTCACCGGCCCCGCCCCCACTGCAGTGGCTATCAGGTGATCGGAACCTGCCAGCTGGGGAAAGGGACCAAGAGGTGGTCAGTGAGCTTCATAGTGACTGCTCCATCGGTCGTTCTGGTCATTCTGCTGTTAGGGTCAATTTGCATATTACCCTTTTATTATGTAGGATTTTAACTTGGTGTACTCTGAACCGACTCTTCTCCAGCTAGTACATCATATCCCATGGCCTCCTCCCCACCACACAACTGCTGACCCTCTGCCCACCCCAGTGGATCCCTAGGGCAGTTATCTAAACCCTGCTCACCCACCCACACCCCGTCCTTTGTTTTATGGGATGGGTGGCTGGCCACCCATGACAGGCATTGATGTCCTACACCCAGTTCAATGTACGGAATTCGGAGAGTTGCCAAGCATACGGTATCCTTGAACTTCTCGTGGCTTTTGTTTATTTCAGATTTTACGCTGCAGAAATCGCCATCGGCCTGTTCTTCTTACAGAGCAAGGGCATCATTTACCGGTACGTGAGCTGCGTGCTTTCTCCCACGTGGCCTTTGCTCCTCCCTTCCCTGCCTCTTTAACTGCTTTTAAAATAGATTCCGTGGTGGGGAGGAGTCCTCTCAGGCTAACTCGGGCATGTGCTCTACTGGGCGGGGGCAGCGTTGCCCACTGCCCTGGCAAAGCTCAGGCAGCTCTGTGTGGTGATACCTCCCTGCCCTCCGCCACCAGTGATGGTTTGCACCTCAAACCCGAGGCCATTTGCTCTAAGACAGTGGTTGGCAAACTGCTGCTTGTGAGCCACATGTGGCTCTTTGGCCCCTTGAGTGTGGCTCTTCCACAAAATACCGACTTCTGCGAATGGGCCACAAAGTTTCAATCGCACTGTATGTGCGCGCCCACACGTGGTATTTTATGGAAGAGCCACACTCAAGGGGCCAAAGAACCGCGGTTTGCCGACCACTGTTCTAAGAGGTGGCTCAGCAGGAGGGCCCAGCACTTCTTCCTCTTGCCTGGAGACCCCACATTTGCACATTTGGGGAACAAGCAAAGCATCTTGTTTAGCAGAACATGATAGGTCATATTATGAGACGGGTTGTGCTGTTCTGCTACGTAATCACAATTCAGAAATGGATTTCTGAGTAGCTTGCCCTGAAAGACAGGATTAAGTTTGGGACTTGGCATTTGCCCATGCTTGGAGGAGCAAGTGTATGATCACAGCTGCGTGAGTCAGACCATCTCCTATTCCATGCAAGGCAGACTGCTGAGCCGGGCTGCTGTCTGTCAGTGAGTTGGGGTGCGCAGTTCTCACAACCGCATGGACGCACACCGCACAGACAGGGCCGGCTGCGCTGCTGCTGCGCAAGAGGGTCTGGCAGAGGCTCAGGCTTCCAAAGGGCATTTGCCATCTGTGGGGTCTGTTGAAGTCTATTTCATTCATTCATTTGACAAACATTTATCAAAATCCCACTGTGTACTGTGATGGGGATACAGCTGTGAAAAAACAGGCCTAGCCCCCCGCCTTTGTGGAACTGACTCTGGTGGCGGGAGACAGATGCGGGAACCAGGCCTAGGCCGCCGAGCAGTGATGAGTGCTGTGGGGGAAGAGCGAGCAGGGAGAGGGCTCGGTGTGCTGGGTGGTGTGGTGCCCGCCATTCTGCAGACGGCGTGGGATGAGGGTCTGAAGAGTTAGAGGGACCTCAGAGTCCTGGATCTCTTAAAGCAACAGAAGGATTGAGACTAAAAGGTGTAAAGGGATCAGGCCTGGTGGTCTCAAGCAGATAGGGTGGTGGCCTGTGGGTGCTGGTGGCATGGGGGGACGGAAGGTGGGGCCTTGCCAGAAGCCTGCAGAGTCCTGACTTATGGCTCCTGGAAGTGGCAGTATGAAGTCTAGCCAGGGAGGGACAATCTTGTCCTGACGACACGGAGCCCCCATGCCCGCTTTACTCCTGGTGCCAGAGGGTAGGGGGGTCAGAGAGGAGTGGCTTCAGCTGGTGCTGGTGGTGGAGGGGCAACAGGAACAGAGGGGATAATTGTGTGGACTGCACGTCGTGTGGTTGTTCCGCCATGCTTGCCCTCACTGCCCACGCGGACCTGTGAAGCCTGTTTCCCCGTGGCTGTCACGGTGTAGCATCTTGGTGTGCTGAATGCAATGCTGGTGCTGGCAGCTACACATCTTCTGTGTGACATGAGCCGTGAATCGAAGCCAGTGACCTCCCTGTGCCTAACGGTCCTAACCTGAGAGGCAGGGCTGGGGTGACTGCTCCCTCTGATTTTCCCCTTGAAAATCATTGACCTTAGAACCTGACCCTGTACAGCGCTCAGGTTGCTGGGGGGTTGAACATGGGACTGCAAGTTTCTTGAAGAAAATCTTATTCCAAGGGGGAACCCGAAGAGGAAATAAGAATCTTTGTCAGCTGTGTTGGGATCAGGGTGAGGTTTCCATTGGGATCAGGGAGGTGGGAGACAGGACATGGCCATTCAGGCCATAAAAATCCCGAGGTCAGCATCTTGAGTGCTCAGCATGCTTCACTCCAAAGCTCTCTCTCCTGAGTGCATGCACTTCCATGCTCCCTCACGTCTGAGGTGGTTTCAGGAGCTAGTCATTATCCCTTTAAGCCACTTGGCGTCTGAGCCCCGGCATTTGTGTGTAGCAAGAGTCCGCCTCCCACTGTGCAGATTTAAAATGCAGATACTCGCTCAGCCCCCGTAGCCAGGCCAGGCACACGGCCCAGGCTCTGCCTCTTGGCACGCTGGCCGAGACCTTGAATCGGAAGTTAGTGACCGAGGAAGCAGAGACTGGCCCTCAAAATCGGCCCCACCTCGTTCCCAGGGTGAGAGGGGAAGCGGTTCTTAGTAGCAACATCCAGAGGGCAGCCCCCGGGCTCCATGGAAGGTGGGCCAGTCTGTGCCCGGGCAGCCTGGGGGCAGGGGGGGTGTCTTTCCTGCCAGCTCTGTGCTGCACTTAGGCCTCCGTCTTGGGCCTCAGCTCCTCAGGCCCCATGAGCTACCCATTCCCTTTAAAACATCCTTTTTAGACGGAAATAGAGTTTGCTTTTGTTGCTCACATGAAAGAATCTCAATTAAGAAAGAGTTTGTGAGATTGATAAAGTAAAACTATAAAAACATTACGTGACAGCATGTGGGCTTCTTAATGTCTTTGAGATTGCCTTCATGGCGGCACGATCTCTTCCAATGTCACAGAGCCCTCCCCCTTTATTTAGTGCCTCAGTGCAGAGGTGAGCGAGTGTGTCAGACTTGCCTCTCTGAGGACCGTGCTGGGGTGTTGGGGGGACGGGGCCGGGGGACAGAAGAGCCTTCCTGCCAAACTTAGTATCAAAGGAGGGTATTACATTGAGCAAAAGAGGACTCTCAAACCACGCCATGTGCAGCGAGTATACCTGGGTGTTCTCCACCCTAAGGCCTGTGGCTCCTGACACTCCTCTCCTGTAACATGAAGATCTTACTCCTTCTCTCTCCAGTGCCCAGCTACTTGTGTGGGGGCATGGGGTCAAGATGAGGGGGCTGTCATGGGTCCCCAGTGACCAGACCATGTAGACTAGTGTGTCTAGGAGAAGCATGTTCCTGCAAAGCCCAGTTTCCCTAAGTACTGAGCTAGCATGCAGGGACCCCGGGTTGTGGATAAGCACGAGGCTGGAAAGGGGTAGCACCATGGACAGCACCAAAGATAGTGGACCCCAAGCCCGGGTGCAAGTGAACCGCCCCCCACTCTCCCCCGGAAGAAGAGACCTCGCAGACACAGGTAGGAGGTGCCAGCATATGTGTCCAGGTTGTGTTCCTTTAGTTGAAAATGCGACAGCAACTCAATTCAGACTAACTTAAGAGGCAGTTGGGGCTCAATCCCAGGAGCGTGCAGGAGGCGGCCAGTCGGGGACTCTCTCATCGTTGATGTTTCTATCTCTCTCTCCCTCTTCTTCTCCCTTCCTCTCTCTGAAATCAATAAAAAAACATTAAAAATAACAATTTTGTGAAAAAGTATCTTCTATGAAATGCAAGGGGTCCTTAAGTTACACACGTCAGTCTGTGAGGAGTGCCTGGACCTCTGCCCTTCATTAGCATCCAGCATCCTGGGGGTGTCTTCTCCTGCCCGGCGTCTCGCTGGGCCTTGCGAGAAGCTGGGCGCAGTTGGCTGTGCAGAAAAAGCAGCACACAGGGCTTTGTGGACCTTTCCTGATCTTCCTGCCAGGTGATCAGCTACTGGAGGGCCAGGGCTGCTTCACACACCCTTCTGTCCCCCACACGCCCAGCACAGTGCCTCGCACAACGTGAGTGACCATTGGTTGACTTAAAATAAATAACGTGTATTAAACCCCTACATTCCTATGTTCACAACAGTGACCTAAAACTTGACAACGTGATGCTGGATTCCGAGGGCCACATCAAGATCGCCGACTTTGGCATGTGCAAGGAGAACATCTGGGACGGGGTGACCACCAAGACGTTCTGCGGCACTCCGGACTACATCGCCCCTGAGGTGAGCGCGCCCCGGCTCGTGCCCGCACTGCGCCCCCACCCGGGGCTGCGCGAAGCAGCCCCCCGGCCCTCTGAGCTGTCAGTCCTTAGAGATCACACATGCAGATTCGCTTAGCACACACCCAGAGCTCAGGCCCAGATACACCCAGGTTTGGGAGAAAGCTTAATTAAACTCAACAGAACCATCCACCACAATCAGCAAAATCCTCCGTCAGCTACTGTGGCTCATGACCATGTGGTGCCTCCTTATTGTGACATCAGAATGTTTGTGAAGGTGGGAGAGGTCCCTGGGCTGGTGTGAGGCGGTAGGCAGTAGGTGTGCTGAGCCCTGGAAGACCTGGCGTTCCTTCCTGTGACGCAGGTACAAATGAAAGGGTAAAGGTCGAATTCTAGTCCCCTTTCCGGAGGAGATGGTCCGCTGCAGAATGAGTTTCCCAACACGTCATGGTACAAACATTTGTGCCAGGCGATACTTCCCTTTCTCTCTGAGTTGGTGCCCAGAGAGGTGACTGTATGTACAGTCTGCTACTGGTTTCTAAGGAATGGGACTGGGGTGTGGCACAGAATCCTGGAAATGGACATCCTAGGCTTGTCTGTCACCTCACATGGAACTGGTGACTGGAGGCCCCATGTAACTAATAGCGTGGCACAATATTTAAATCCTACATTCTCTTTCACCAAAGCAGGTCCTTTCCTAGGAACCTAGTTTACATCACGCACACGTACACACACACACACACACACACACACACCCGGCTTCGCCATCCGCAGCCACATCGTGCGGCAGCGTCTCTCGCCTCCTCGGGCTTCCTTTGTGGAAGGATTGCTTAGGTTGTCGTGGGGATCCAGTCGAGGTGACGTGCTTCACAAGTGTGCAGGAGTCCCCACAGAGCTCCGCGTCCTCTGGGGCTCACGCACGAGCGCATTCTACCCACGTGGGAGCTGGGGTGGCAGACGGCGCTGGATCGGTGGACCCCGTTTGTCCGGCTGCACTTATTTAGCCACACAAACAGTCACTGAGTTACAGGACTTCCCGTAATAGCAAACATCTGAGGGCATAATATGTGAAGGCACATGTTTCTCTTCCATCCTCACAAAACCCTGCGACATGGGTACTGTTATAAACTGAGGAAACTGAGGCTTAAAGAAGGTAGGCAACTCCTTCCAAGTCACACAACTGAGAGGGAGTGGCGGTCAGGATCCAACGTCTGGACTGCTTCCCCACACCTTGACCTTCCACCTTTGCTTTGTCACCTCTGAACCCTCTGACAGAGTTTTACAGCCTCTCAGAAATGCAGGTGCTCATCGGTATTCTCAACACTCCCATGCCCTGGCAGTTTGGTAATAAGTGTCAAAACCCTGATCACTGTGTATGGTGTTTGAGCCCTGAAAATCCGCTTCTAGGAATTCATCTTTTTCTTTTTTAAAAAAAGCATCACTTTATTTGTGCCCTTGTAAAGTTGTACATAGAAACATATCATACAGTGTGAAAAGCAGGAGGGTGCTGCCTCCACACTGCCTTCCATCTTAGGGCCCTGACTTACAGAAATAAGGGGACAGATGTGGAAATGCCTCGTTACAAGAGTCTGTATTGTAGCGTCAGGAGAAACCTCGCCCGTTGGGAATTGGTGAGACAGGTTTTATACCAGGCAATGGGACGCTATATCAAGTTAAGCCTGAGTATGTTGACATAGAGGTATTAACATGGAAATGTTAAGTGACTAAAGTACTTTATTAATATTTCACACATCAAAGTATTTATGTTTATGTAAAACACATACACACAGAGAGTTTAATCTCTATTCACAGAAAAGAATCTAGAAGGAAATAGACCAAATATCAATCGTAAGTTTTCTCTCGATAAAGGATTATGGGTGATTTTAATGGGATTCTCTTAGCTTCTCTATATTTTAAAATAAATAGTAAACTATTAATAAATGTTATTACATTTTTTCACTTAAAATTTTAAATATTGGTAAATAAAAGCATAAAATTTGCCATCTTAACCATTTCTAAATGTACAGTTCAGTAGCGATAAGTACATTCACATTGTTGTATAAATGTTATTACTTTTATAATGAGAAATAAATAGTTTTTCTTCTTAAAAGTTCACACTCGCTGTATTAAAATTAAAAAGAGCGCACATATCAGTGACTCGACAGGCCACGTGGCATGCACAGGCGTCCCCGGCCTGAGGCCGCTGCCGGGAGACCCCTCCCCCATGGGGAGCAGCAGCTTGCCTGGCACCAGCTCCCTGTCCACTGTTCTAGACGGTGGCCTGCACCTGGGACTGGGACAGTCCGTTTAGCCTTTCGCAGTAGGCAGTGACCTCCCTCCCCCGCCACCTGGCCGTCCACTCTCACTGCAAAGGTGTGTGTCCAGTCTCCGGCTGCAGGCACCTGCTCGCCCCCTGATGGGCTGCCTTCTGTCTTCCAGATCATTGCATACCAGCCCTATGGGAAGTCGGTGGACTGGTGGGCATTCGGAGTCCTGCTGTATGAGATGCTGGCCGGGCAGGTAATTGAATTTGAGTGATTTGTAGGAAAAGGCCTCCCACCACCATCTGTGTGGCTTCCCTGCAAGAGAGTGTCAGCTTGATCCTGCTCATCAGTCTGAAGCTCTCTGACTTCGTGCCTTGTGGCGACCCTAGTCTTGGCCGATTCTCCTCCTCTTCTCGCTGGAAGCCTGCAGCCTCCCCGAGGGCCAGGGCACCAGGGCGGAGGTGCTGGCTCAGGAGGCTCAGGCAGGAATCCCCTCGCCCACTCGCCCACCTTCCTCTGTCCCGCAGGCGCCCTTCGAAGGGGAGGATGAGGATGAACTCTTCCAGTCCATCATGGAGCACAACGTGGCTTACCCCAAGTCCATGTCCAAGGAGG